TTCGTTTCACGGATTGTCACTTTTATTAGACAGTTTTCCCGTCATTAGGGGGAGATAAGAACGTCCTCATTCCTGAAGAATGATGCCAATTATTGTGATCGACTCCCACTTTGTCTCATTTAGATCCCCGTCCCGCTCAGCCTGAAACTAAAGTGCAAATCATATTAGATCTTTAAAGCGCAGCTTAGAGCATGCCATATACTTTCACAGATATAGCAAGCGTGACAAGATCACATATTCCAGCTGCAAATGTGCCTGCAAAGATGGATGTACCAAATGTACGACAGACTTCCCTCATGGAAGCCCAGAATGCTAATTCAACCGATCCACGTACATTAGCAGCTAGCCAATAATCTGCCCTTACACAAAAGCATGGCAGAACTTTTGGTTCAAAAGATTCACATCCCTGGAAGAGGAAACACACGGTACATGCCACTAAGCCTACCGTGAATCTGACCATCGCCTACTCATTCTATCCAACTCATGAGGAAATTCTAGATTACGAAAACATCATTGAAGAGTCGAATCCACCTCTCGAGAATCGCGAGATTTCAGTTCATTATACTAGCTTAGATGATGTTTGGTGTAGAAATGAGATGATAATCGACGATGCATTATCATATGCAGTAGCTACTGAGATTATGTTATGCGATGACATTGAATCTTGTTCCATTGATGAATGTCGACGTAGAACTAATTGGATAGACTTGAAACCAACAATCCAAGTCAAACTCGATTCGCTTGCGAAACGTAACGTGTTTGGACCTATAGCTCATACCCTTCCACGTGTGAAGCTCGTTGGCTACAAGTGGGTTTTTCGTTCAAAAGCTGTTTGGGCCCAAAATATCAGGTTGAGCCGAGTATAGAATTATTCTCGGCCCAGAAGGCCTTACGATAGGGTTCTCAGGAATCATTTAGTTCTAAATCGGATAGGTCGTGGGCTTCCAAATCCGGATCGGTTACGCCATGCTACAAGGCGAGTCGAATCCTGGTGCAATGAGGAGTCTAAGCAAGATCAAGAGCTCGAAAGTGAATCCGACTCGATAAAGGAATAGGTTCACAATTATGGTGAAAGTAGGACTGGTCGAGTTGGTGTTTGATCAGGAGAATAAGTCCTAATCCGGGTAGGGTTTTAACTCGACCTTGAAGGTATCTGGTGCTATAAATAGAAGAGGCTGTACATCATTCAGGCTCTCTCCAATTCAACACACAATTGCCCTGCGCAAATTCTCTTAACAACTTTGAGATTTTTATTTTCTCTTTTCGCTGACATATCTTCCGTTGGCATCAACAGCACTGTGAAAGCAATCGGTGATATCTTAAGTCGGCATAGATAGCTCTGTCACCGTAGAGTCAGCCGATCTCGCAGCATCTTCCGTTGGCATCAACAGCACTGCGGCGAGGACGGTTGGTTACCTATCCAAGTCTCGGTCGAGAAGGATTTCCGAATCCTTATTGATTGAGGTCATCTCATTAGCCTTCTCGGCGAAGTGAGGTGTTACAGTTTACTGAGCTCGGCGCATTGCACGCTGAGTTATTTTATGATTGGATACTCTCAAGTGGGATTTAGAGTTTAGCATTCAGACGGCCGAACCACGTTCACTATTAAGACTTATATTCGCTTTGAGTATTTGTGCCTTTACACTTTGGTGTCGATTCGACGTGAGTTTACTCTGACGAATAACATCACTGTGACCGAATCCGACGACGGTGATTCGTGAACTTCGTAAGAATAGTAACCTTGTCTTCAGGTTCGAGAACCTAAGAGGCCGAGACGTGTTCCTTTCTCGGCCGCAATCGCAAGACGCAGAAGTCAGTCGCGCACCCAACGCAACATCAACAAATTTACTCCTCGACCGAGTTTGGCCGACGAGTTGGCACGCCCCGCATTCATCGAAGGACGTAGTTAGCTTATAGATTACTCGGCCTGCACGCCACGTAGGCTTGGTAGTTTTTAGGGTCAACAGAAGCGTAATGAGAAGAATGAAATTGTGCGTTACAAAGCTCATCTTATTGCACAAGGCTTCTCACAACACCCCGAAATTGACTATGACAAAATTTATTCACCCGTTATGGACGTGATTACTTTTTGCTACCTTATCAGTTTGGTAGTTTTCAAAAAACTTAGTATGCAGCTTATGGACTTAGTAATTGCATATCTCTATAGGGATCTTGATACAGAAATTCATATGAAAGTTCCCAAAAGTTTCGGAATGACTCACATTGACTGGATTAATAGTTCCAGACCTCGGAACACACTCTCAATTCGGCTGAAGCATTCACTCTACGGTTTGAAGCAATCTGGAAGGATGTGGTATAACCGTTTGAGTAAGTATTTGACTAGTCAGGGATATGTGAACAACGAACTATGCCTTTACATGTTCATTAAGAAGTCACATGTCAGTTTTGCGATTGTTGCAGTTTATGTCGACGACATAAACCTCATTGGCTCCTGAAAAGCTCAAGAGAACTATCGCGCACCTGAAGTCGAAATTTGAGATGAAAGATCTAGGAAAGACTCGATACTATCTTGGTCTCAAGATAGAGAACCATTCAAATGGAATCTTAGTACATCAATCGAATTATACCCAAAAGGTGTTGCGCCGCTTTAACGAGGATAAAACGAAGCCTTCGAGTACTCCTATGGTCATTCGATCGCTAAATGCAAAACGAGATCCCTTTTGTTCGAATGAGGATGAAGAAGAGATTTTGGAACCCGAAGTTCCTTATCTGAGTGCCATAGGCGCTTTATTGTACTTAGCTTAATGAACTAGACCTAACATCTCATTCGCTGTTAATCTTTTGGCAAGATAAAGTAACGTACCGACACGCAGACACTGGACTAGTGTTAAAGACATCTTTTGTTACCTTAAAGGTACTACGGATCTGGGCCTGTTATATCCCTACGGATCCTCGAGTGATTCCATGACCCCCCTCAATTCTCGAGTCTATTTCCGCCTTGTTGGTTATGCCTTTACCGTTAGAGGCACCGCAATATTTTGGAGGTTAACCAAACAGACCTTAGTTGCCACTTCGTCTAACCATGTTGAAATAATTGCCTTACATGAAGTTACTTGGGAATGCTTCTGGCTGAGAGCACTTATGGCCATATTCGAAGCTACTGATATCTTTACCCCATCATTGACATCCCCACGACGATCTATGAAGATAACGCAGCTTGCATCGAACAACTCAAGAATAGTTACATCAAAGGAAACAACACCAAGCACATTATGCCGAAGTTCTTCTTCTCACACCGGCAACAAGAGCATCAGAAGATTGAAGTCACGCAAATCCGTTCACAAGACAACCTGGTGGAACTCCAAATCGCTACCGAATGCAACGTTTCAGAAGCTTGTTCAAGGAATATGTATGCGTAAACTTTTTGAGTTGTAACATTGTTAGTTCTCTTTAGAACTATGTTAAACTCAAAATGAGTATCTTGAAGTATACTTGCTTAATCTTAATATACTTTGTTTTCTTATGATTAGGAGCATTTTTTTCAATGGGTTTTTGCTACCTAATGAGGTTTTGACGAGGCACCTACCTTGGGTTGATCATATTCCTGATGATGTCTTGTAGACGTTTCATTTGACTTTGCATTTTCTCTCGCATTTTTCCTAAAACTATAGGTTTTGTCCCTACTCAGGTTTTACATAGCCATTGGTTTTTTTGTGAGACTTAGTTCCATATGCAAGTTCCTTCTTTACTTGAGACTAGCATGTTCCTAGAATCAGTGCTGACGAGTTGACTTCCTCAACTCTCCCTTGTCATAGAAAATAAAGCCACAACAATATTGTTTATTAAATATGTATTATTGTATTATTATTCTATATAATAAAAATTTAAGTTTTATGTATTTATTTATTTTTATAGTATACTATAGGCAAAGAGTGAGACTAAAAATTAAATATCAAGTAATTTAAAATACCAAACACATTAAAAATTATAATAATTAATTTACAAATGTGAAAAAAAAAATATGCAAACGCTCGTGATCGCTTCCTCTACACTTTGAGGATGAGTACATTGTCATTTGAATTTTTAAAACCATACAAACCCTTATGAATAGTATTTTTAAGGGATTTCAAAATAAATAAAATTCATAATCAGTAATGTATCAGTCTGAAAAATGTGAAATCATATATACACGCTCGTGATTGCGTCGTATACGCTTAGACGATGTTTAACTGGTTGTTTAGATTTTTAAAACCATCAAAATCTCATGAATAGTGTTTTTTATATGAGTGCAAAATTAATAAAATTAATAATAATTATTGTAGAAGTGTGAAAAATGTATAATATATATACACAATTACTCGTAATGATAAGCTTTACAACTTTCATGAAGGTGTCAACTCCGAAACCCGACACCAATCCATAAACCTTATGTTTAAATTTAATCGTCGATTGTTGCTTACACTTTATTCTACTTCCCGAATTTCATTTTTTCTATTTTCTTCTTTGAAAAGTGATCATTTAGTGGATGTAGAAAAATGAACAGGTCGAATCATTGATATGACATTCTAATATTTACAACTAAAACATGAGTTGATGTTATATAGTTTTTAGAGACTTTATAAACTTCAAGCTATATCTTCACTAATGGTACATCTTTGCACGTAATATCAACGATCTGAACCGTTTATCTTCCTACATCTTCTAAGAGATCATGTTTTCAAAAAAATAAAATAAATAAATGTGAAAAAAATAAATTTAGTGAGAAAAATAAAACATAAATGTAAATGACAATTATGGTTAAATTTCTATCTATAGTTTATGTGATTATAGTCCTAATTGAATACAACGCTTTTTTGTTCTCAAGCTGTCTTTCCGCGTTCCAAACGTAGTTGCGTAGCTCATAATGGAAAAGCCCAAAAGCCATTTTAAGAAAAAAATAAAAAAACCAAAAGCCAGGGAGACAAGTACTTAAAAGGGTTTTGTTTTTCATTGGAGGGTCACAAGTTCGGCCAAATTGCATTTTGTCTCTCAAAATATAAACAATTAATGTAAGCTGCCTATAAAGGGTAACGGGTCAAGTGGCCAGGGAGTTTCAGAGTTGTAAGAGCCGAGGTTTTAAAATATAGCAAGTGTGTGTTCTCTTGAGTTGGCCAAGATGAAGTTCTCCATCTCTTGTTTTCTGCTAATTCTGTCCTCCATCCTCTTGGTAAGCAAGTTTCATATCGATCGAATTCGTTCATCAATTTTTTAACTTAATATAAAACTTTGATTTAATTCTCAACTAATTAATCCCTTGTTAATGGAACTTATATAGATGTCCCAGAACAGCTATGCAAGAAAGGACTCAGGAGACTACTGGAAGAGTGTGATGAATGACCAGCCCATGCCAGAAGCCATTAAAGACCTGTTTGTCCATCAAGACCATGAACATCAAGAGCCGTCCAAAGAAAAGAGCCATTTTGTTGGGGACTTTGACATGAGGCCTAATGCTATAATATACCATGGTGCTCATCATCATCAAGTGCCGTCGACAGAAAACAGACATTTTGTTAGGGACTTTGACATGAGGCCTAATGTTATAATATACCATGGCGTTCATCATCATCATCAGGATCAACCTGCAGAAAATAAGCCCTTTTTCAAGAAAGCATCATACATTCAAACAGTCAACCATGGCTAAATCAGATTTAGGATGATGATGGGGAACATGTTTTCATGTGTTATGATCTATATATTAGACCAAGTTTGAAATAAAAATAAATCTCTCTCTCTCTAATTTGTACTATATATACCTATAGTTACTAGTGTTGAATTTCCATCACCTTTGATTTGTGCTGAATTTCTCAGGCTAAAATTATTGAAATTGTTTTGTGTGCTTTTAGGCATCTTGCCAAGGGCATCCAGTCACTGTGTGAAAGATGCATAATTAACAGTAGAAACCATTGCTTGATATTATCATGGGTTAAAGATGTCACATCTAATGGAAATTTTGGCTTTTCTAAATATCAGATCAAGAAGGCTTAGATTTCAAGGATCTATCTGTAATACATTTTTTTTTTCTTTTGACAAACGATATTATATTTATTAAGGAGGGTGTATTCAATTGTATTCAGTTGGGATTTTGAGAGATTTTAATTCTTTTAATAAATTTAGAGATATCAATCGGAATTTTAAATGATTCTTTGAAATTCAATGTGTATTCAATCAGGAATTTAAGAAACTATTTTAAAATCCTTGAAAATCTGAGTGTATTCAATTAAGATTTTAAATAAGTTTATAACATTCGTATTCAATTAGAATTTAATTTTAAAGAATCTGAAAAAGTTAAGCAATTAGAGGAAATTAGAGAGATTTTGTAGTGTATTTTTAGCATCCACAAATCTCACCTCTCTTCATGAGAAGATTTCGAGAGAATTGAATCAAAATTTTACTTTGAATCTCTACAAATCACTTAAACTTCTTAAAAGTCCATGGATTTATCTATTGAAATCTCTCAAATTCCCAATTGAATACACCTCCCAAATGGGAGATGGTGTGTTAAGTCTCACAATGAGCTATCAATAATGTGATTCAAATTCACCTTTGACGAGAATCGTACCTAAGACCTTACTTATAATGATATACCACTATACCGTAGTACTAAGTGGTTACTTCAAATGATATTTTCTAATAACCACAATGATCACACAAAAACGACATTTCTGCAATTAAATGTTAAAAAGTAATCATTCCTACTAATTGCCCAATTTTTTTATCAAAAAGGCTAGCCGTTTGTGGCAGATAATCAAGGTATTTAATTTTTTTAGTCAATTACTTAGAAGCAAAGCATGATTTGCTCCCCTGTTGAAATATTGTTCATTCATATATGTTTAAATAGCAAGGTAGAAAGAATTATGAACAAAAAGAGGCATTTGCTCCCCTGTTGAAATATTGTTCATTCATATATGTTTAAATAGCAAGTAAGGTAGAAGGAATCATGAACAAAAATAGGCATGTCTTCTCTACATTTTTTAATTATTGTCACAAATTCTAATCACTGATATAGAACCTATGAATGACAGATAATAGACTATATAAGTATCTCCGACGCCAAGTTAGAGAATCACTGTACTCCAAAATTATAAACTTTCGAAAAATGGTTCAACAATATATATTCAGCTCATAGAAATAAGTTCTACCCTCTGGCGATATGGCGAAGAATATAAAAGGAATTGAAAAAGCACCTCAATATTGTAATTTTTATACAAAACACTTCAAGAGCTCAATTGGAGAAGAAAGAACGAACATTTCATATGATCAATTTGTCATGCTTTAATTTGATTATTAGTCGTAAAATCTTTTTGCCGTTATCAAATTATTTGGTTTTGTTTCTTCTAAACTATAAACTATTTGATATAAAGTTTTTTGTTCTGAATTTTACATGTGAATATGTGATATGCCCTAAAAATTTGATGATAAGTTTCACTTCAATAAGGAGACGTGATTAGCAAATATCTCTAATTTAAAATGGAAAATAAAGGAGAATTTGAACCATATTATTACTAGTTCTTTGTGAGTCTAACCTCATCCCCCTTTTCCTTAATATAAATAATATCGTTTGTTAAAAAAAAAAAAAAATAGAAACTAATGTTATCAAGAGAACTTTTATATGTGAAACTAGTCAACTATTTGGACTATCTCTCTAATAAAAGTATAGTCCACTAACACATGTGAGTTCTATCTTTATTGGAGAGATGATACAAATGATAGTACACATAGATGGTAAAAGTAACATTTTTTAACGTGAAAAATCCTTAAAAACAAAATCAAGGATAAGTTGAAGGGTTTGAGATACAGTATAGGTGCGATTAATTGGAACTTTGTAGTGTTGGGACACTCGATTAAAAAATTGAGGCTCTTTGAGACTGAATGTTTCTCCATTTTAAGTGCTCAATTAATTCATAATTTGACCCAAAAAATTAATTCAAATGCATGCTTCCAAAGGCACTGACTGACTGACTGACTGACTTCACTAGAAGAAGTTTTTAAGTGTACTTATAACAAAAAAATAATATAATACTTAGTATAATATATGTGGACGAAGGAAAATAATTACTTCTTGCATGTTTGCCATTTGCTACCGAGAACAAAGCCTAAAATGCTGAAAAACTTATGCATGTTTTCCATTTGCTCACCATACAACGGCCTCAAACATTGAAATTTTGTGCATGGTTGCCATTTTTCAGCATTTTACTGCATTTCATAGCAAATCGTTGTTGACTGAACTGCAGGAGAAGCATTGTTGTTTGTGCCAAGAGAACTTATCTTTACGTGGAAAAAGAAATCAAACAAGAGACCTAGAATTGAAGACCCCTAATTCGTTTCATTTTCCAGTTAGGAATTTTTCTATTTTCAGTAGTTTACTGTGTCCTTGATACATATGCATTTAAACTCTAATTAATTAGACAGCCAGCCTCTTGCATTTCTACCTTAATTCGTTTCATTTTCCAGTTAGGAATTTAAACTCAATTTAATTTGACAACTAATTTTCAGCCTCTTGCATATCTACCCTAATTCGTTTCATTTTTCAGTTGGGATTTTTTCTATTGAAATTTCATTCTGTCACAAAATTGGACTGTTCACAAATAAGTCCTTCAAAATTCCCTTTTACAGAAAAAAAAAAAACTCTTAAAACATTGCTTATTTACTGTAAATTAATGGTTTTTTTTGCTTCTCTGTATATATTTTGATTGTTTTCACTAACATTGGTGAATTTTCAGGAAGATCGAAATCAACAAAGGGTAATGCATGAGACACCAAATGTTAATCCAAACTTGCAAACCCAATGATGTGTTAAAAATAGAAAATAAGCACGTTAATTAACGCTTATATAATAACCCAATCATCAACAACCACATCATTTGGTTTACAAATTTGATTTGAACATTTTGATCTCCCTACCGTGAACAAATAATGTCACTTGGTGGAAATTCAACAAACTCCAAAGAAGTTTGACCTTTTAAGCTTTATTCAAATAACATAACATTTTATCATAAACTTAGTGAGAAAAACCCAACAGAGTCCTGCATTAAAATTTAAATATTACATTGAAGTGGATGTTGGAACCCACACAAGATTATCAGCAGGAAAAAAATGGCACACAGGCGAAGACCCTGGATTAATCTTAAGAACTTGAAATGAAGCATGATTAGGGCTCCACTGAGAGGTGTCCATGTGGCAAACAGCAACAGCATCTACTCGATCTCCATCCTCACCACCCAATAAAACTTTGTAAACCTTGTTACTGCTTTCTTGGCTGTGACAGTAGAAAACTGCATAAGGGTAAGGCAAGGTGTGACAAGCTACCATCTTTGTAGCTAAAATCTCTTTAGGCTCTTCCAAAATAGTGTAGTTTTGGAAGAGGATAGTTGAATTGGTGAGATGGGTTGTGGCTACAACACTGAAACGGTTGTCGAATCCGAAGACGCCGCGTGCGAAATCAAGCATGGATTCTAAGGAAGTGGCACAGGACTTGATCTCTCCTTTGATGGGTGCAGTCTCACAATGTCTAAGAGTATCTTCCATGGCTTTGGCTTGGGGAGAGTCTTGAGAGAAGGAGAAGAATTGAAGAAGGTGGTGGAGTTGTTTTGATGAGAAGGGAATTGGATCAACTTCTTCTCTTGGCAATAAGGGGGGCGATTTTGAAAGGTTTCTTTTTGGAAAATAGATGGCCATTGTTTTCCCCAGGTTTAGGTCCTTCAAGGTAAAGAAAATCATATGTGAAGGGTCCATGTGATCCATGTGAGATGATGGATGAGCATGAACATGCTCCGTATGTGTTGTTTCCCACTGTTTTTCACTCATCTTCCTGCCCTCAATTCCCTGAGCACACTGCATAAATAAATGGAAGAGAAAATAAGACATGAAAATTTGAAAACTGCAACTAATTTCTAATAATTCTTTTGTAATTCAACAATACTAAATGAAAGAGAAAAAAAAAAAAATAAGGGAATGAAGTAAATATTACCATAACAAGCAGTAGTAGCAGAAGTGAGGAGGTCCAGAAAGCAAGTCCAGAACCCATGTTTCTTCTCTCAGTAAAACTCCTTTCCGTTCTTTTCATCTGCTAATTCTGAAAGAGCACAAAGATTGACCATCAAGATATGGAAAGTCTTTACTCATTTAATGGGTGAAAGGTGAGCATGTTTAATTGATTGTGGCAAATGCATCATTGACTTGAGGAATTGGGCCCGTTGGCTATCCACTTGTTATTGTCTCTTTATATTCTTATCATTATATTTATTCACTCAAAATTTCTTGGATACGGTTTATATTCCATGAAAATATCAATAAAAACAGAGAAAAATATGAAAAGGGGATAAAGTTTAAACTGCACAAGATTCGTAGTTAAATTTTGGCAAAAATTCACAAATTTTGTTGATACTTTTGACATATTGGTTAAATATATATCAACAAACTGACATATGACATTCTCATCAATTTTATTTTAAATAATTACGTTTTTGAGAAAAAATTTCACATCAATTTTCATCAAAGACAACCGATATATCAATTTATCTATCAATATTTCTATAAATTTACATATAGTTATTTTCACCAATACCGATATTTTCATGCACGTATCTTTTTATCTTGTACTCTTTTTTTTTTCTGGGTCAGATCTTTATGCTTTCTATCACTTAGGATATGGTGTCTAATTATTAGAAAGCCCAAAGCCCAAACCTCCAGAAAGAGTTGATCAGTTTATGCTTTGTTTTTGGATTGTTTTATTAACACCCCACATCTAAAATGTGCCTCTAAAATTCCAGCTTTGTTCTCCAT